AGAGAAAAAGAGAGAAAAAGAGAGAGAGAAAAAAAGAGAGAGAGAAAAAGAGAGACAAAGAGAGAGAGAAAGAGAGAGGGAGAGAGAGGTTTCTAGGTGGCTTTATGCTATAGATACCACAAGCCCTAAACCCTGAATCCTGAGCAAGCAAGGAGGCTCTTGTCCACGGCCCCTTGCTGGCATCTGTTTCCCACATAGGTAAGTCGCTTGAGCGCCGTAAAAATAGGGACCTTTGTCCCGCTGCTGGCATATATTTTCCAAGTGGATAAGTCGCTTCCGCACCGTAAGAATGAGGCCCAAAGGGAGCCTGCGTGCGCCTTAGATGCGCCAGACCCTGTGTCCGCCTTAGATAAGCCGGCCGGCGTGCCCACGCACGAAAAATATGTTGGCTAATGCAGTAGACTCTACCGTAGACTGGAGTTCTCACAGGAAGGGGGAGAGAGGGGGAGGGAGGGAGGGAAAGGAAAGGAAAGGCGGAGAAAGGAGACCTACAGAAGAGAAAATGGGAGATGGCTGCGGTCGAACTCAGCAACAGGCTGAACCCGGAAGAGGAACTCGGAATGCATGAGTGCCTGGGTCGTACCATGAGCTATGGGAACATGACTTTCTGCCTTGGCTCGACATGTAAAATTTCTCAGTCTTCACACGCATCTCGCTCACATGCGGCAGGTCGAAAACCTCTTCTGGCAGCTCCTTCAAGGCATCGTCTGTCACCAACTCAGACTGGGGAGCATCTGGGAATGAAGATGACGTGGTTGGTCGCCTTGAGAAGGGCTTCCATGTCGGTCACGGGCATTGTCAGCAAGATCCTGACAATGATGCCAAATGCATGCTTACCAGCAGCTTGTGTTCTTGGGCGTCAACTGACCGCATTGGTGTATGTTGCATGGTCATCCAGGTTTGATGTTCGACTCCTGTGAGTTCCGGATGGCTGTGGAAGCACCTGCATGCAGGGCCACCACTGGGTGGTTGCATTAAAGGGAGCATGCAGACAAAGTTTAATCACAGTCTTCACAGTCTGGAAAACGCTCTACTGGTCTACGTGTGCGGGAAAGACCAACTGGGACCCTGCACCTGCATGTAGGCAGCATCGAGAGGAAAACACATCCTCTCTGCCTCGAACACCACTGGCAGCGGACGCATGGCCGAGCTGTAAATGCCAGAGTCTGGTGCTTTTCCAACATTACCAATGTTGGCTGCCCAGGACGATTCAACAAGTCTGAGATGAAAGCTCTTTCGTCGACGCTTCGCATGCCAATTGCGTATGCCTGCACAACATGTGCAAATTCCAGCGCAAGCCCTACTACAATCTAGGCCCTCGCTTGACCAATCAAGCAGAACTCGACTGCATGGTAAGTTTTCGGCATGTCAGTACTTTCCGGACAACTGAACAACACAGGGCATGTCGTTCCTATGTTCTGCTGATACACAGAAACCCCCACCCGCCCACCCACGTCCCCCGTCCCTGCCTCAGGCACCCTGCGGGTAGCCCCTTCCGCAACCAGAACCCCTGCACGAAACCCACAAGCTGCGCCGCAACCAAACCCAGAACCTCTCCGTCACAACGAGACAGCAAGCTTACATATCTAGACCTGAAGTTGAGCCTTCTTAGAAAAATATGAATTATAAGACATTCTTGCATAAGGATGTGTGTCATCCTTTACACTTTGGGTTCTTGGAATTCTAATCCCAGCTGTTTGTCACCGTTTGTCGCTCGAACATAGGATTGTTCGTGTTCGCTCATGGTCCTTCCTGTTCTTCATGATCATCAAGGTTAGCAATGATTTCTGTTGAAAGGCTGCTTGGGACGTTGCGTGCTGATAGGTTCGAGTGCTTTCGGAAAGGAGGGCTAAGGACTGTCCTAAGAACCAATGCGGCGGCCTCAATGAAGGTAAGCTCGGAAAGCGCGCGACCCCAGCTGTTGCAGCAGAGGCTGCCAAACATGTTTGGCAAACCTCGGAAGTGGTCCTGCACGGTCCACGATGGAGATGGAGCGCTCCCCACACCCACCATGCTTGCACAGGTAAACAGTGGGGTCATGTTCTCGACAGACTTCTGGCCTGCTCACTCTGCCATCGCACATATCCTCGGTTCGTGCTCAGATTTGCAAACTACGCCTGGGGGAAAAGCATGTCCAAACCATCCTCGCACGTGTTTTTTTGCTCTTTCGAGGCTTTATCCCTTTTATTGTACTCTGCGTCGCGGATTGCAGATGCACCTTACGGGTAGGCGAGGAGGGCTCTCTTTGCCAGAATTTCGTCAGTCATGGGAGGGATACCGGGAAGCTGACGAAAGACGCAGGTCTCGTTGTAAACGATGCTTGAAAGCGATGTGGAAAAGGAAAGAAAGCTTGGAACTTGGAGTGTATCGAGAAACCTCTTCTATGACAGTTTTTACCCCGAGCAACAGCAGCCCTGCGGGAGCAAGTGCAGCAAAGAGAGTGCCCGTAGAGGACACGATCGAAGACCGCTTCAAAAGCTTCAAGAGGAGTCACTATGGAGAACAAGGAATTTGCTTCAAGCTGGCCATCCAGCTTTCTCGCCTTTGTAAGAAGCCTGTTCTGCAAAGACTGCTTTGTGCATTGCAAAAAAACGCAGCGTTTCGTTGAAGCCTTTGCTTGCGTCGCACTTTTTTGCTACAAGATGTTGACCCAGTGCTTGCATTGCTTGTCTGCTGTGTATTTTGGTTACATCTGGTGACTTTTTGCACGTTGCCAACCTCGCTTCCTCGCCAGAACCGATTCATGCCACCCCAAACAATACGGCTGCTGCTGCTGCTGCTGCTGCTGCTACTACTACTACTACTGCTACTACTACTACTACTACTACTACTGCTACTACCGCTACTACCGCTGCTATTGCTACTGCTACTGCTACTGAGGCTGCAGACTGAGTCTGAGATAGAGCCTTTCTTGCCTCCAAGGTTCATGGCTTTGTGCTGGGTTCTGGAATTTGTTCGTTCTCTGTCTATCTATCTGATGAGGTCAGATGTGAACTTCGGGTCCCAAGCCCCCTGGCCGGTGTATTATGTGGAACATGATGCAACCAGGCATGTACCGGTAAACCCGAGGGTTGGGCGGCGCTGCTCCACGGCAGCTCCGGAAGTTTCTCATCAAGAGGCGAAATTGACTGGACAGGGACAATCTACTGGAATGCTCCGGAATAACAGTCGCAAAAGGGCCTATCGCAGGGCCAGAAGGCAAGCTGAACAGCAAGGAGGAATGTGGTACCGAGGACGCTGGCATAGCACTGCTGCTTCATTGGGCCTCACACACGGAGCGGAGTGAGCAAATGCTGATGTCCCGACCGTAAAGCCACCTGCTGCTCAGCAGGCTGGACTGCATGTTTGTCAGTGCTATGAGCTACAGCATTGGCGGCATCACGCCACAAGTTTTTGACACTTTTTCAGAATGGCTTCGCTCTGATTGCCAGACGGACGTGGTTATATTGCAAGAGACGGCACTGGTGCTGTGGAAATTAAGGACCACCAGTGGATGATGGATGGCTGGATAGCCATTACGTCTGCTGACCCGGCCTCGTGGCACTCAGGGGTAGCTGTGTTTGTGCGACGCAGAGGGTCTCGCTGGATGTGGTAGCTGGCTACCAATGGGTTTGGCAAGAGCGAGATCAGAACAAGATTGCCAAGCAGCGCGCCTCCTTCGAAGGACCGAACTAGGATGCGTTTGCCAAGGACTTCCAGCCAGGAAAATGTTACTGCTAGGTGCGGGTTTTAACTCTGTCTGCCGGCCGATATCTGGTTTGGTGGGACGTGGCGTGATGAGTACGATCCAGGATCCTGAGTCGCTGATCTTCGACCAGAAATTGGTGCTGCTGAACACCTGGTCCTCGGCAGCACCGCGGTGATGTCGAACTTCTCACAACACTGCGCAGGAGCTGCAGCGAGCAGTGAGCTTCACTCTGTATACCCTGCCAGCAGATGCGACCGTGAAAGATATCAATCAAACCATTCTCCCAGTCTTGCACGGTTCTCATAAGGGCGCCTTTCCCATGCAAAAGGAGGTTCGTCAAGGCTGCATGTTGGGTCCGCTGCTTTACACTGTACACCTGCTGGCTGTGTTCCGAACTAGCTGACCGCATTACTGCAGAATGGGCCACCCGGCTCATGACCTTGTTCGAAGACGATTCGCATGTCTCTTTTGAGGTTGAAAGTCTTGCCGAGCTTGGGTTTGTGGTTCGCGCTATCAGGGCTGTCTTTGCATTGTGCAAGGGATGAAGGTCAATGCCAGTAAGTCCAAGCTTGTGATAGGGCTCCGCGACAGTGCGGCACGTCGATGGCTTCGACGCAGAAGCTGCCTGCTTGAGGGTTCGCCTGCCATCAACTTTGGTACGCCTCACGCTTCCCTGATTATTCCCAAAGTTTCCGTTTGTGCATTTAGGAGTGGTGGCCTCCCATGGTATCTTTGAAAACCAACCCTTACTTGTCGCCTCAAGGCAGCCCGAAACAACAGGCAGCGACTGCTTCGAATCTTGCACAGCTCCAAATTCTCCTGGAAGCATCGAGTCAAACTGCATGTGGCCGGCATTTGTTGGCATCCATGCTGTCGGAATCACTGACTCGGTGCTTCGTCGCCTCGAGATTTTTGACTCACGGGCACTGCGTGGCATTGCACGATCGCCTGTGCATCTCACGAGGGAGAATAATCAGCAGCTCTGACAGCGACTCGGAGTCACCTCGCCCCAAGAGTCGCTTGAGCAGATGTGACGACGTCGCATGCTACGCAGTAATGATCCGTACCCTGAGCCGAGTGTTGGTCATGTCGGAGAACCCGACGACTTCCGCGGAGTTCCCTGCACTGTGTGTGGAGTTTACTTCCTTGACCATAGACACATGCGTTCACACCGAGACCGCAAGCACCCGGAAATCAAAAGCAGTCGCGGTCTCCACGAGTCCGTCGCCGTGCGACGCTGCAAGCGTTTACGCCGAGCTGCCGCTGAGCAGCTCAACCAAGGTTGTGGTGGTGAGCTCAGTGATGCACAGCGGCGCCATTTTTGCGCGGCCCTTTTGCAGATGGACTTGAGCCGAGTGCGATTCTTTGCATGCCTGCCAACCAATTTGCGGCCATGGATTGTGCCAACAGAGCTCTCCAAGCCTTCTCGCTCCGTGAGGCTGCTGCAAATAAAACTAGTTGGGTTAAGCGGTTTAAAACCTGGTCCCTCGACACTTGTCTAGCTACCAAGGCCATTGTAAAGCCGCAAGCCCCTTCGCAGCCGACCACTGCCGAAGAGCTCAAAGACGAGTAGTCAACTTTATCGTCCCGTCTGACAACCGCGACCGCGCCTCAGAATGGCGTGCTTTTGCCGACGAAGGTGGCTTGAGTTCTTCCGGCGTTCTCGCCCCTGCTGTGGTGTCCCTTCAGGCCTTCCTTGCGGCCGCGTCTACTGCAAAAGGCGTTGCCGCACTTGAGGTTTGGATTAGTGCTGAAGTAAAGCTTCTCGCCACCGAGTGTCCCTGGCTTTATCTCGTCTCTACGGTGTCCTGCAAGACCTTCTCGCCGACAGTGTTGACCTGTCTTCTGACACTGTGCCTGCCGCAGGCTTTACAGCTGGAGCCTCGCCGGCGTTCCTACACGGGGTTCGGAGGAGTCCAGACCGATCGCTGTGGGATCGGTCCTTCTTCACACTTGGAACAAAGCCCTGGGGCAATCGCAAGATGTCCTCGGTAACTCATGCGATTGAGGATTGGATTAAAGCTCCGGGCGACACCGGGGTTGAGCTTGGCTTACCAAAAGCATTTGACACTGTCAGCTGGGGTGCTGCTCGTGAAGCGCTTCTTTTCTCTGCCCTCAAGTTGTGGCTCACCTTGCCTTAGGGTGACGCGGACCTCGGTACTGCAGTGCCGCCGGCTCCTACTCCCCTGTGCCCCACCGGCTCCATACCGCAAGGAGGCCCTGATCCCCCTTGCGTTCTGTCTTTGCTCCTGCGTCGAGACCCCTTCTATAGGGAGGGGTGGGGGGTTGTTGTTCGTGGATTTGGGAACAACAACCCCCCACCCCGTGGGGGGGGGACCAAGAGGGGGGGGAGTTGTGTTTCTAGAACGGGGAAAGGGGGAAGAACAAGGTCACGCCGCCGCTGGTGGCCCCGTGGATTTTGTACGCCAAATCGTGCATTTATCCCACGAATACCAGCATTCTTAGTGATAAATGCGTTTTACGGACGTGTCTTTTTTTTTCCTGATTTGAAAGCACGTGCACACTCTTGTAGTAGCAAAAGTGACACGCCTGCCAGTGTTTTCAAAGGTTCGCACGTGT